ATATATATATATATATATATATATATATATATATTATATATATAATATAAATTTTTATAAAGAAAAATAAAATAAAAGTATAATTATAGGAATAATGCAAAATCGCAATTTATTTAGAATACTGTTTATTACATTATTTATTATTAAATAATATAGTGTTGATTAGACATAATTATTTTTAATACATAGTTATGAGACTGATATCTTAATAAATTTATTTTAATACATCTTATATAGAATACATATAATATACAACCATTTTCAATATTCATATCTTCAGAATAAAAATAAAATAGCTTGTTATTTTCAATGCAAAATCAATAATATAAATTTAAGAATAGTTTGAATAATATCAACTCTGCAATATGTCGCTTAAATAGTTTTATTATTTGTCGTTATCTTGATAACATGGTAAATAGATACCAAGGAATATTACATCTACGTTGTGCAAAAAGATTGCGATATATTTCGCAAATATATAGCTTACGAATCAAAATATTTAACATATTTTTTGTGCAACATAATTATCAATTTTTGTCTTCTTTCCCTTTCTTTAATTTAATGTTACAGAACTGTTTCTTATCATAATTGAATATAAAAAAATTAATTTGCATATATCTCATAGCAGAAAAGTATGTACTTTCTATAATATTTATTACAAGAAAATATCACTTCTTTGTAATATGATATTTAAGTACTAATTGTTTTATTGTTTCCAATATGGAGTAAGGCGCGTTGACATTGTCCTTGGTACCTTTAACCAAAAAAATCGCAAATCGACTTTTCAAAAATAATATTTTACCAAATAAAATGCCATAAGCTTACCTTAAGATCAAAATTGTAGTGGTGTCATATCATTCACAAATAATTCCAGAATAATAATTCCAGAATCGGATCTGATCACCAGTAAATTCCAGTTTTGTCTCACTATCACTGTTTCCGTAACAAATGCGACTTAGAACGGATGTTTTTAAACGCATACGCATTTTCGAAAAAAATCTTATAGAAACGATCAAAATAATGCTCCTCACCGTTTAGTCCTTTTTCGATTGCGCAACGACTACACGATACGACAACGCTACGCAATGATCCGCAATTTTAACACGCAGAATTCATTATAAATGAGAAGCATATAGCAACTCACACACGTCACTAGAAAGCCACGGCACAACTGCTGTGCGAACTGCCATTCCACGACTGACCGACAGGTAACGGCTTTCGCGCCGGAATACTTCGGCAATTTTCGCCTTGTTCGCTACTCGGCATCGCCGACCAGTTACTCTGACTTCTCATCGTATCTTCGGTATATTTCGCTATCGCTCGGTCTCATTCGGGTATGCACGCGCATAGTGACAGAATACTGTCAGAGATGATAGATCAGCTACTCAATTTCATTTATATCGTTTCTCTTAGAGAAATTTAATACTGATAATTACTGAAAAATTTATATATAATTAATTAATAATTTATATAATTAATTAATTTGTATTAATTACTAGTACAATATTTCGATAATTATTTGCCTAGTACTTAATTATTGATTAAATATGAGCAGTAATAAAATATTATTGACAATTACTGTCTAGAAATTTCCCAGACAACCAGACAACATGCATGACTAAAAAATATCTTAAAAGAGATGTTTTAACAATGGCCTTAAAAAAAGGTCTTTAACATTGATAGCATTTAAATGTGATAAGGATCCTACAAATATCTTTTAAAGAATATCCACAGAACAAAAATCTCGAGTGGATATTATTTATTAGATGTTCATTATAGAAATTTGTAACCAGTATTAAAATCCACCCATCATAGACTCTCCATCAAACATCTATTAAACATTCATAGTTCCGCATTTCTAATTTTCATTAGGTTTTCATTACACATCTATGTAAACATAGACATAACATTTTACGGAGGTTACATAGATTATGGATGTTTTAAATAATTTTGAAAAATAATTAATAAACATTAAATCAAGATATAAGGTGTTACTAAAAAAATATAATAATTAAATACGATATATCAATGATTTTCGATATTATAGCTGAAATGTTGAATAAAATCACTAATATTGATACTATAAAACAAGAAAAAATATTAATGAAAAGAACGTTTCTATTTATTTATAAAAAATAAAAATATTTAGGAAAGAAGATATCTAATTGTAAGTGACAATTTGGGGTGAAAGGCGTACGGATAGCATGTTTCTCATACGGCGACGCTCCTGAGGCACAGCCGTTCGGCGGCTCGGCCGCTGGAACCCTGGAAACGGTGGGTAGGGGGGAAACCTCCGAAATCGGACCGCAAACTTAACTTCGTAGGAACGCTAATTTGGAATATATATATATATATATATATATATATATATATATATATTATCAAAACATCAATAAAAAAAGGAACTATCGAGACGAGCAAGATTGATGTGCTTATTTACAAAAATATTATTATATGTATATAATTCTACAAAAGACAAATGACAAATGTTTCTAGTCGGTCATTTTCAATGCGATCACAAAACAACACTGAAAACACTGAACGAATAAGCAATTATACGAATGAATAATCCATCGTACGAATTAATAATCTAACTTAGGCCCGATGATATTCCTATAAGAAAACCTTGTAGTTGTCCAAATTAGAAAGTAATTCATCAGAATTAGATTCGTCACGCTGAGTCAGGAATCGCGCTCAGTATATCTTAAAATCTTACGAAAAAGTTTTAAGTTTGTGATCGCACAGTATATCTTAAAATCTTACGAAAAAGTTTTAATTTTGTGATCGCACTGACGATGACCAACTAATAAAATCGACACATTTGCGTTATTTTTTAAATTATGTATAATAATATTTTTGTTAATTAAATAATAATAAGCACAAATCAATTTATCAAGCACGTCAAGTTCTTTGTTTTACTGATGTTTTGATGTTTTATATCTTTGATGTTTCTTATCTTTTTTAACTTTAATATATAATATTAAAGAACAATAAAAAATTTTTAAATAATGAAATAGTCAGTTGAAAAAGGATTTCAGCACAAAATGTTTTTGTCATGGCAATAAATATATAATTCTCTTGGTATAATATTAATTATCAATAATTATTCTTTATAAATCATCGATAATCTATTCTAATATAAGATAATTTTTTTACTATGTTGACATTATCAATGATAGTAATAATAATATAAATATAAGCTTCGGATAACATAGATTCTAAAAAGCAGCCTCAAAATATTTAAAGAATGTCAATCAAATCATTTTAATTTTAATGCTTATATTTCTCGTTTAATTAAATATAATGATACGATTTCGAGAAAACTTGTAGCATAAGAAAATCTGCACAAAATATTGAAAAGGAAATGCAACCGGATAAAGTAAAATTGCATGGCAATTTGCCTTAAGTTATGACTCATAACTTCTTATGTATGTATCTATTCATGATTATCATGATGCTTAGAATAAACGGAAGAATCAATTAAGACCGCACGTAGATGTAACATCAACAATAATTTCAACATTTAAACATAGAGTTTAAATAGTGTAATATTGACAATATAAATTATATAAGTTCGTAATAAATTTCTAGCTAAGTAATAAAAAAGCAAATAAATTTTTTATTTTTTTCATCTTTTAAATTAACAGAAATTAAATTAATATAAATTGATTTTTTTAATCAAAGTTTGATAAAGATAGAACATGAATTTGCAAAATCAATTGCAAAAAATTACTTATATCAGTAAACAAAATGCTAGCAGTATGTCAGCGGACTGCCAACAGATTTGATTAGAACTCAGAACATGTCGGCAGGTTGAAATTAACTGCGTTCACTTAGATTCTGCCGGCACGACCTGCAGAACATATTCAAGCAATAGATTGACAGCAGAAATTAAGCAGAGCTGACATGATCCGCGAGTAGATTGGTGGTAAAAACCAAACAGAACCTGCTGACATGACCTGCCGGCAAGTTAGCAAGAGAAATCGAGCAGGCTCTATTGTTTCATAATCATTTATATTGTGAGATTATTCCAATCTTCCAATCTTGAAAAATAATGTTTCTATTACTTCTTTTATTTTTTGTTTTAAAATAATAATTTTTAACTGTTTTATTAATAGAAATATTAATATATTCTGTACAAGTAAATTACGAAATTTTGTAAAGATGTATACTGTAGTTTTTATAGTTTTTTTACATATACCAATGATTATTTTGCAATGATTATTCATTCATAATTTTTTTGCAAAAAAAAAGTACAATCAAGATTACGTATCGCACTAAGCATATATATAAAAAATATATAAATAATAATGGCACATTTGAATTTTAGTTAAAGCAATTTTGAATATACAGGGTGAGTTTTTTTAACTTAAGACTACAAAATATCTGGAAAAACAAACATTGTACGAAAAAAATGTTAGCAAAAGCTAACTGCCTTCTCCCCCCCTTTAAGGGTGAAGCGGGAGATAACTTTGAAATTTTAAATGAAAACCCCTACTTTTTATTGCAGATTCGAATTCTACGTCCAAAAATACGTAAATTTTGTGTGAAACATTTTTTTCGATTTGAAAAATGTAATATTCATTTCTTAAAATTAATTTAAATATACTATATTTAGTAAATAAATATATTTGGTAATATCAAGAAAATGAAAAATAAAAAAGAATTAAGTATACGTATACATGTATTTTTCTTTCATTCATACAGAAAATTAAATAAAGCATATAAAAATAAAGTTAAATAAAATTGAAAAGTTTTGAAACTCTTTTAAACATTATTTAAATTATTTTTATTTACATGTAAAATTTTTCCATTTATTTACCATTTTTATTTACTATTTCTACAGAAATAAAATTAAAATTGTTGACATATTTTCCATTGAATTTTCCTTGCAATCGAATCGCCACGCTGTTTTTACTATTTTGACTTTTTTTTACTATTTTTACTATTTTAGAAAAGATATCTTTTGATTAGCTATAATTATTTTTTTTATAAAGTTATATATTAAACTAAATGTGCAAAAACAATATATTATAATATATTATAGCTAATCAAAAGATATCTTTTCTAAAATAGTAAAATTAGTAAAAAAAGTCAAAATAGTAAAAACAGCGTGGCGATTCAGTTAAACTTGATTTTCGGTATTTTCATATTTTCGATCAGATTCAAAAGGTGACTCACCTGTGTTTACGGGGCACTGTTGTAACAACCATATTCAAGGATCTTTCGTAATAATTATTATTGCTTTTAGATTGTCTCGGAATCGCGGTGCAAACATCTTGTGTAACACTGTAAATCCTCCGTTTTTTTAAGCATAACATCTTCTTGAAATTTTCGGTATTTTCACGAACTCATAAAAATTCCACAATTGTATATTAATTATTAACAAACTATCTTCTTAAAATTATTGCTTTTCTAGCTCATATTCGTAACTTGATGAATCATTAAGCACTTATACGAACTTTTTATGTTACATTATTTGATTTCAGTTAAGAAAATTTTGAAAATAAAAGGAATATACAAATTCATCATATAATATTCTGTTTCTATCTCTCCCCCACCCTCACTCACTCTTTCTCTCTCTTCCTTTTCACTATATAATATAAATTTTGTGTGTGTGTGTGTGTGTGTGTGCGCGCGCACGCTATTGGTATAACTGTATCACACTCCGTACATAATATGATCTTGTATAATATATTGAACTAATACAATTAAAACAATTTATAACAAAACATTTATTAAATATTGATATAACATAAATGTAAGCGTTAAATTGACATTCAAAATACTTAATACATAACATCAATAAAGTCTGAAGCACGATAAAACTTCTTTTGTAAAACCTTTTATCTTATATTAATATTCAAAGTTTTTGACAAAACAAATAGGTACAACGTAAGTAAACGTACAAGAAAAGGGACAACTTTTTCGTACGAAGTTTCGCAAGAGACGCAGAAGACGTTAGCCTTACACCGAAGTTATAACTGTACTGAATACTACGCTCAGAATCTTTTCCTCAGGCGCAAGTGCGCTCGGTGATAATGACCCCAACGAAAATTACGGGCACCGTCTCCGCAATTTATAGTATGCATTTTTATCATATGACATTTTCCCTCTTTAAATCTATATTATACATATGAGAGAATCAAGTGATATTATTGTCAACACATAATATCAAATTATCAAATGCTGCGCGCGCGCGCGCGCGCGCGCGTGCGTGCATGCGTGTGTGTCTGCGAACGTGCGTGCGTGCGTGTATGGGTGCGTGCGTGCGTGCACGCGTGCGTACGTGCGTGTTTAAATAAACACCTTACAGTTATTGTTTCCGCAATATGTTTAATGAAATTTCAAATTCTCTTTGCCTTGTACGCGTATGTGCATGCATGATGCTGGATATCTTATTTTATTTTTTGACAAAAAAGTATCTGAAAAGTATCTCATAATCGCGGGATTTTAGCAATCTATGTAACGAACAAAAGAGTGTAGAGTTTTGAAAGAGTCTCGTAATTATAATATTGATTTATTTGCAGACGCAGTGATAGAGCCATTGTTGAAACAACGGATGTCATTTTTTAATGAAACCATATATTTGTTGTCTTGAATTCATAGATGTAAAAATTTAAAAAGAAAAATTGATAGATATCTAGAATCTTTTCTATCGAGTAATATCATTTATTTTTTAAAAATTAACTCAGCTTATTACATCGGCTGAAAAACGTTCTTCTTCAAAATTTATCGGATTATTGCAATAAATTTTATCAAATTACTTCAGTGGTCAAATAGTTGAAACTATAAAAGCAGCTTCAACAGCTCGCTGAAATGATATTTTTTGCAATAAAAAAATTTCTCTTGAGAAAAAAATTGAATTCAAAATTTATTTATTTTTTATTTATCGATTTATCAAAGAAAAATAATTTAATTTTAGCTTGTATCTGCTGTGTTGCAAGTCCATTAAAAATATGACAAATTTTTCGCGACATATGTAAGTGTCCTAAATTTATAGATATAAAAATTTAAAAGGAAAGAAAAGCTATTAGATGATTAGATCCAGTCTACCGAATAATACCATCTATTTAATACCATCTATTTATATATATTTTGTTATGTAATATGTTTTTTCTAATTATTTGTTAAAATAATAATAATGAATAATAATTACTATTTTATTATTTGTTTCTTCAAGGAAACAAATCATATTTAATATTTAAAGCGCAATCTACTGGCAACATTGAGAATCGTTCCAGCAAATAGTGTCTGTTTGACACTGTATTTAATTGTGATTCCTAGCTGGAAAGCTCCCTTATTCACAATTGTTCTAGAACCGGATCGAACCGGTGTTCTTTCCGGTTTATTAGCGCCACTTCCGGATACTTTTCATCCGGTAGCGCCGTGGCAACTTCATTTTGGCAGCCAGTCGGTGGCGCCACCTGTTGCCTTAGATGATATTAATTAATATTTTACAAAAGCCAATAATTTAAACCATCAGAAAATCAAGATACAAATACATATGTTTCATACTTTGAGGAGTGAATACAGAAGATCACGTAATAAAACAAAATGTGCAGCAATCCTTGCTGAATCTTATTCTAAACGAGAGAATCCACGACGTTTGTGCTGTCACACTCTGTTGAGATAACCGTGCAGTACTGCCAACTTAACAGTTTCATCTTTTATTTTATATTTATTTTATTATATAATGCTTAAGCTATTTTACATTGTTTTCTTCGATATATCATTTATATCTTATTTATAATTTGATTGTGACATTCTTTCTAGTTTCTATTTTCCGCTTATTTTATATTTAAAACTATACGTTAAAACTATACGTTTTATAATGCTTAATCTATTTTATATTTTATATTTACTTTGTATATTATTTACATCTTACTTAAAACTCAATTTGTATATCTCTTTTAATTTTAACTCTTTTTAATTAATTTATTTTCTGCTTTCTGCTTTATTTATTATTGCTTTATTATTTTGCCGGTATTCAATTTTTTCCTATTGTACACTTTATAATGCATTTTCGTTTTAATTTCTCTCTGTTATTTTTAGATTCAAATTTAGATTCTCAAATAGCATCTGATACGTCTTTTGACTGTGCAACTCCTATTTAATGTCCCATTTTTATAACTTTGTTATGTATGAATTTTCCTATGCTGTTATTATTATATCAATAAAATTTTATTATTATTATATTGTTGTTGTTGTTGTTGTTGTTGTTGTTGTTGTTGTCATTTATACATATACATATATTGGCCCATGTTAAATACGTAAATAGTCTCAAAAAATATACGAAAGATACGAAAAGACGTTTTCAATAAAAGATGTAAAGTTTCGAAGAGATCATTATTATGATATTGATTATATATATTGATTCATTAAACTGTATAAAGTGATCTCAAGCTGATGTATAAAAACTTGGCGTATCCGTATTGCATTAAGATTACGCTAATTAATTATTCATCGATATGTAATAACACGGTTTATTAAATTAAATATTAAATTAAATGTATAATGCTAATAATGTACAATATAAAGAAAGTTTCCAACAGGCATAAATATTGATAATTTTATAAAAAAACAATTTGAAAACATTATATCTATTAGGAAAAAATTGTATACATCGGTTTAATATTAATAATCTTTTTAAAGCGTCAGTCATAAGATATAATTGCGACAGGCAGAATTTTATAGATCATTAATGATAGCCACGAGGTTATGATTCAATCTCGTCCTTGGATTCAATGGATCAAACGAAGTGCGTCAAACAATGGATGCGGGAAGCAGCACGAAGATTTCAAAGAAACGTAGGAAACTCGAGAACAATACGAAAAGAAATGACCTTGTATGAATTCAACTATAATTGTTTGTACAAAAAAAAACACGCAAGGGCAAAAAATTACAAATGTCGAAAATAGATTTAAAAAAATTCATTTCTAAAAACAAGTTTACATATCAACAATAGCTAAATTTTATAAAAAAAAATAACAAAAATTGCTAATTATTCTATTTTCATGATACATTTTTATATCAACACGCATGTAATATCGTTGAAGTTTCAGATCAGAATTAAAGACGGACAGACTGTTGTTGAGTCTATTAGGCTATCGAAGAAAAATGTCGGGAATGCTGAATGAATTTTTCAAGCAGAATGCTCCTCTGTGCATAGAATAAATGAACAGAACAACGTCATTCTCTAGAATCGATCAATGACACTTTTACGGTTGATTTCGCGACCGCTAGAAACCACCGCAGTTGCCATTTTGCTTTATGTTAATAAGTAGATTTTTTTTTCTTCTTATAAGAACCGTTAAAAGTACGAGACTTTTATCTAAATTTTCCAACGGTATATAGGTGGGAAAATACTTCTTTCTCACTTATTACAATAACAATAATTATAATAGATAAATTTTTACGTAATACTTCAAACAAATAGTGCAAATAGATGGTTTAAAGCAATATTTTTAAATATTGTTTGTAATATTACACAATTTTAAAGAAAATATTACAAATATTACAATTTTATACAAAGATATGACATCATATTAACCCTCTTTCTTTTTGCTCTAAAATAATATCATAATAATAGTAGCCGATGTCAGAACAGTGTTACTGTAGTGTTACAAATAGATTTAAAAATTTTTGCATAAATATCCTAAGATAAATTACGTTCTTCGTAACCGCATCGCAACCACAACCGCACCGCAATCGCGTTGCAACTGCAACCGCGACCACACTGCTACTGCAACCCCAATCGCAACTGCAACTGCACCGCAACCTTTAAACCTTATAGCTCGAAAACTTAAAGAAAAATAACTTCATTAAACTGTTTTGAGAAGCTCTCGAGATATACTGCGAGAATATGCAATAAAAATGAGGGTTTCCGTTTTAAAAAATTGTCGTTAGAGATAAAAAATAAGTACACTGTATATGCGTTGTACTTAACTATAATCACATAACAAATTGTCAAAGCTTTATGACATTTCATAGACAATATCTCTCGTATGGTACAAATGTTTTCCTAATATTGATTAATATGTTATTTTTCCATGAATGAGATAGGTTTCTATACGCATAAAATAGATTTCATACAATTCAACAACATCTAATCCTATCTAAATCATTGCTGCATACCGTTCGCATTATCTACTATTATTACATTAAGCAGCAGCAGATAAGAGAATCATATATCTGTTTCCATGAACGAATAATTCATCAGGATCAGAATAACTTCCGCGCTTTATTCCGCTGCTCGTTAATTCAAGTTCCTTTCTGCAGAATGGATCGTCTCTTTCTTCTTGAATCTGCAACAAGACGAAAATCATGCACGTTCCGACAAGGAATCTATAATCCCAAGATTTTTTTTAAGAACATTTATGGTGTGGAGTGTCCCTTGAAATATTATCCATTGTATTCTCTTTTTATACAGACGTTCAGTTTAGTTTGTTAAACAAGCGCACAGTTTGCCCTTATAGAATGTTTCATAAGGTGGTATCATATTTCTAACGCGCAATAAGATTTAAATATTGTATAAAATACATGTTAGAATAATCATAATTGCATAAAAATGTTTTATGAAGGAGAATCTATGAAGATTAAAGCAGCTCATGAAGATTAAAGCGCTTCATGTCGCTTTATAAAACAAAATACAGAAGAAAGAAATTGAATTGAATTATATGATTAAATAATTCGAATAATTTGAAAGTAAAATTTTCAAGGAATAGAATAGAGGGCAAATTTTAAACTTATAACTCGAAAAGTACTTAAGAATTTTTATATCGCTGAATGTGAATTCGAGGACAAAATGGTGGATTCAGCATGACGGATGTCAAAACTTGAAAAATATTTTATCATTCGCATATCTAATTCTACATCCACAAAAATATTTCTGTATGCTATATTATTATTCGAACTACTATAAAATCGATATAAGACCAAGTATATTAAAAACGGAATATTTTAATTTTAAGAATATTCTTAAATCTAGGATAAAATGATCTTGTTATTCTGTTAATTTTCTTAGAAAGAGTTAGATAATGAAAATTTGTAGCAATCTTATAATATTCTTGATTTAACAATACGCAATATATCATAAGAGATATTACATATGCAGAGATAAGAGAGATAAGATATGGAAAAATTATCAGAAATCGATTAGGATTGAACTCTAATTCTTTGTTACTACCCAAGATCTTAGTTTGCGCGACCACATCAGTTTCCCTATAAAAAATACGACAGCTCTATTTTTTGAAAAATTTCTTCTATCCTTAGATATATTTTAAGTCCATAATAAAGTACCGGCACGAATACATTACGATTCACAATTAGTTACGATACGTATCACAATTACGTATTGTCATGCATCATCAATAATAGATGGTAAAACGGTTTTGTACTGGCGTTAACATCGGACATTATAATATTGAGCAAAGATTTATTCTATACGCAAGACTATACAAACTTAAATTGATATGTACTACTCTTAATTCAAAATAAAATATTAATCATATTTTAAGGGAAAAGAATAGAAATTATTAATTTACTTAATATGATTTTATTTCTATTGCAGGAGGTAAAACGATAAGCGATCAAGTTCATCAAGAATAATTCTTATTATTGACAATCCTTTCTAAATTATTACTATCCGCTATAATTATACTACAAATTCCATCATTTTATATATTTGTCAATTTTAATATTGACTTTGCATTCAATATCATGAAAGAGCGTTATACATAATTATACATAAATTTTTGCTATAATCCGAATATTTTTTAAGAATCCATGTAAAATCCTAATAACATTTAAAATGTTAAAGTCAAGTCATTTGGAGTAGAGTTTTCTTTTCGATATAATCCATCTTTATCATGCACATAATTCTTGTTATTTTTATTTTATGATATTTTTTTCGTAAAAGTTTTAATCATAATTACAACATATTACAATATATTACATTTCGATTAAACTAAAAAAAGAAATTATATACAAAAATTTATCTTTTTAAAAACATGAAGTATACATGCATCCCAAACACAATAAAAAAAGAAACTTTTACAAACGTTTGATATCAAAAACCGTTAATTTACAGTCGTCAATAAAGTCTATATATAAATATTATACTCGTGTGTGTATATATACTTGAATTTTATAAAAAAGTTTTAAATATACTAATACAAAATGTGAAAATAGTTTCGTGTAGCTAATCAACCTTAAAAATCAGTGTTGATAATAAGAAAAAGAATATTGATAAATTTATATCTTGCATTTAAGAGAACCGATTCAGACTAGAATGGATGAATCTATAAAAATTGTGACAACCGACAATTTCAACGCTCGACATCTTATTGCTATTGCTAATTTTCTCCGAGTACCTTTGCACGACATAAGTGAAAAGTAAATGTTTGAGCATTATCCATGTTTGTGGACAGGATTTCTTATTAGTTTGTCACCGTGTGATCATGATATGACACATAAACAATTATTGAACATGATAGTCATTAAAACTTCGACTGCTTCACAAGCTGAGCAGTTTCGTGTATTTTTTCATGCTCTTATCCATCATATTATCATAGTCGATTCTCATAATTTTCGCTTAAGTATCCTGTTGTGCTGAGTTCATCGAACTGTGTTGGAGCAGTGACCGATGTCGACATCATCTGTAATTTAGTTAACGAACGATGAACCTTGACAAAAAAAGGAGACTACTATGAGTAATAGTCTATAAATTATAATTTTCTTATAATTTGGAATCTTTTTGTATCTTCTGATAAATAATGAACCAAAAACATTGCAAGATATATTGTTCATTTTTGTCCTTTATTTCACCATTTCAATTTTTATTAAGAATTAACATTATATTTCATTTAATAAAATTCTGATAGGTTATCAAAGTAAATAACAAATATATTTTTATAAATAATATTTCATAAAAGGTAAATATTCATTTTAAAATAAAAACTATGTTGATGTAAGATTTATGATTTATCTACCCAATCTAAATTTGTATCAATATTTCAATCTTAAATACTGTCTTATTTTATTAGTTAATTTTGTATTTATGTATTAATGAAGACTTTATTTCTTATAACAGTATTAAATATATAATATTATATGACAAATGCGCGCATTATGAACGAATTTAATTATCAATTTACAAGTTTTGCCAGTTTTTATTCACATCATCGGCATGACTTATGGCTTTCTGATAATTCATTCTTTTAATCCCTCTATCAGATTTATTACAGACGATATAAATAGCGGAACCTGTTCCACGGACCGATCCGACAGGGAAAACTGTATCGGCGCCGCGTCGCGGCGCGAAAAAACGTACACCCGAGTTGGCACAGAAGATGCATCCGGCGCGATCAAGGCCGAGAAACAGAAGAATCGCGACGGTCCATATAACTCGATGATTCTGGATGCTGCAACACCAGCTTTACCTTCCGTCGTCACGCCGTGTCTTCGTTTCGCTTTCGTATCCGTTTTTCACCCGAGATCGGGAGGCTGCAACGATCTCTCTCGTATAATCTCTTGAAGCGCGTTCAACTCGACTTCTATCAATATCAATATTTTCATGCACAAATTAATGAAACCCGCTTTGTAGTTTTTTTTTTTTTAACAAATTGATATCTTGAGTAAAGCATAGAAAATATTATTGCTAATTGTTTTCGAAGAAAACCGCCGTTACCCTTGCATAAAAGTATCTCTTATAATAGAATAATGCCGAAAAACATTAATAAATTAAATTAAAAAAAAACATGATGAGATGAATGAAAAATTTAAGTATACTTGAAAACTTGGAATAGATAATGATAATGATTAAATATATTCTGCTAAAGTAAATGCAAACAAAAATTGAAAAGTTTAATCAACCACATTATGTGGTGAATCGTGTCTTCCGCAATTTATGCATGCGGCGTTTACATTTATTAATTCTACATACGCAATAATAATAATTAATGCGAATGCGAGAGAAATACAGTCCAGCAGAAATACATTCCAACTATCGCATTCTCCGGCAAAGAGGCGGAAATTCCTGAATTGACTCTCGGGTGTAATGTGTAACGTCGAGCGTGTAACGATCAGGACATGGTTTGTGCCCCCTTCCACATCAGCACCCAGCCACTATTCCTTCTCGCGTGCACACACATACGCATATTGGTGCTCCACGCACACCGGTAGGCCAATTGGAGAGCCAAGTCTTGGCCAAGTCTTTATAAGTAGGAGCCATCCGCGTCCTCAGGACTTACTCCCTCTTGGGATCGTGTCACGATCGGCAACCGATTTTCAATATAGTTGCTAAAAAGTTTATAACTTAGACCGGGTCTCTCTTAGATTTCCACTTGCGTAAATTAATACATCAGTTTCTTGCGGACCACGAAGACTTAGAGGACCTCAGGAAACAGAAAAATTCACCCGAGACGAACGCGGATGAGAGATTAAAGACAACGAAATTCTTTGCTGATTGCATTGAAATGTGAGTGTCCATGTATTGCTTTTTGAATTTTACAAATATGAAAAATATTTGCGCTTCCGTGATTAATCAAATTTTTTTCTTAATTATACAAATTTTTTTCTTAATTATAAAAATTATGTGAAAATCATAAAATAAGTATTTTTTAAAAATGTACAAATTACAATTTACAAGTTTAAAATATATACATTTACTGGCGAAATTAATTAATCAATCAATAAGAGGTTACATATATGCAAAAAATGCTATGGTAAATAAACCAAATTCCTAATATTTAGATGAAAGAATGAATTTTACATTTTAATGTAATTTATATATATATATATATATATATATATATATATATATAAAATTTTAACAAAATTATTACAAATCGGATTATCACAACCGAATTATCACAAATATAATTTATTACTTGCAGCTCTGAACCTTTGTTGAAATATTGTCAGATATTCCTTCGCTTCCTTTGGAAAATAAATTAGCGAATCTTTAACGAAGGTCTTAAAGAGAAGTGATTAACATAAATTTCTACGTCCGAGGCGTAACTGATCGAAAATTTAGGCAGTCTCATAAATACCCAATGATTATAATGCATCAGATAATGCGGAGATCGTTTTTGAACCCTCCGTGTTAAAATATAATTGATAACCAAATGATGCGTTAAGTTGCTCAAGTTTCTTTCTTAATCTTTTTTTAAATATCAAAATTTACATATAATTATTATGTTTAATGTTACTTATTTACATGTTTTATGATAATAGATGTCTTAGTTTCATTCTTGTAAACATAAAATATTCTTAACATCATACTTTTTATTTAGTTTTTCAAATCAGAAGCGCAGACAAATATTACAAATATGTAAGTACAAAATTATTACAGATACAATTATAATCTAAAATAATACATATCATCATTAGAATTAAACGCGACATAAATTGATACTTTATTTTCACATATCTAAGCAGCTCACAATTGTAAATGAACTATTAACTGTTAACATCCCTTCTTTACTTCGTTTTGAACGATATAATTACATATTGTATATAATATTGATAATAAAATTGATTGACGAAAATGTAATTGAAAATAAAATTCAGAAAAGTAAAATAATAGTTCAAGTAAATCCTCCTTTAGAAAATCGAATACCCATCGTAAAATCATTTTATATACATATTTCGTCTAATAATACATGTGAAGAATTGAAACGCGAATATTTTATGCAAAGCTTTTATAATTCGTATTTTTTTACAGTTATATTTTAATGTTTAAAAACTTGATAAAAAATATATAAGAGAGTTAATCAATTATTAAAAATTGATCATCAATTTATTAAGAAGTGAAGCCAAGTATGCTTTGAGTGGCTACGTTGCAAGTTTGTTAATTTAATGACAGGTAATTTATAGAATATAAAGCATTTGCCTTAAATTTACATATAGAAAAATTATTTCGACACTAAGAGATAATCGATCGTTTAATGCCATCTATGATATTCTTATTGTTTTGAAACGTATACAGTTCGGATTATCTATGCCAAGTATGTAATCGTTCTATAGTCATGACATTGCTCATCATGTAACTGCTTTATTCGGTCGCAAACATTCCTACGACTCGTAACATACTGTAAACGACCGCTGCCGAAATCTCAAATTGATTATGAATTCGCATCACGACCTATACGATCGCTGTATTTGGATCGACATTCCACGTTTCGCATGCTTGGTTCGAACACAGTTGACCATTGCGTCGATCAATCTTGGCATTGAAACCCATCGATCGAAGAAGCAAACAGGCCCGTTGCAAGTGCATAATGTATTACGTATGCCCATGGAGTATTTCGTAATCTGTAGGTGAACAGTTTTAACTAGTTAATTACAATATCGGTTTCAAAATTAATTTTCTGTTTGATGCGTTATAAAAAAATGTTGCATGTCTAATAATCAATTGTGTGGATTTAATTCTAACTAATATTGCTTAACTATTGTTGCATAAAATGTGCATTAAAAAGTGCATACAAATATATAATAAATATTTGTATAAAATGAGTGATAATCAAAGTAACTTTAGGATAATCATTAGATATCCGCGGAAAATAATAATCTTAGATTTATTATGACAAAAAATGTAACATATGAATCATACAATTGCACAGCTATTTTTTAAACGAAAGATAGTCTTATTCAAAACGTATTATATTGATTTAATTTTCGGTCAACTGCAGGATTGTAAAAAATAATAAATTATTTTAATATTAATTTGAAATATTTTTGATACTATTTATAAATTATAATAAAAAAATTAAATATCAAAAAAACAATATGAAAAAGACAATAATTATAAACAATTTTTATGTTACATGATATAACATAAAAAATGTTCCTTTATTATTGAAAATATCTTAACATTTTTTCTAAAACTAACTATAAGCTAGCATTTTAAAATAAAAAGTAAAAAATAGATACACAAAAGAAAATTTGAAATTAATACTGAATTGAAATTAATAATAATTATAAATATTTAATTCTTTATATACAGAAATATATTTAATAAAATCTCATCATATTGTCATTTATAAAAAATATGATATATATGATTTAATATTGAATATGATTATATTTTAATAATAATGAGATTTTATAAATTGTGATATGAGAGAATAAAAGTAAATGCATTAAAGATATTAGATAAAATACTTATTTTATTTGTATTGTTAATACGCTCATTGCAAATAAGATACAAATAATAAAAAATTACAATTTAAAAAAAATATAAATTTCAGACATGCTTCGACAGCTTAATATGGTCATTAATCGTGCCAAACAAGGTCCTTATAATGAGAATCCATTGATTCACCGCGACTTGTATTGTAATTATGCTCTATTTATACCTTCGCTAATTCACACCTGCGGCTTTCTCATTTTCTTAGAGATATATGTATATCGAGAAAGCCTTGAACCTTATTATTCACGAAGCTGGTGTCAGTAACAGATTTATGCGCGACGCGTGATAGATCTACGGGATGCCTGCATGATTATGGTATTAAAGGGAACATCAGAAGAAAAGAGAGGTATAAAAAGTATCAGGTATGAGGAGCCCAAAGGTAAACAAGAGACTCGCGTATACAATTTATTGCGGTCCTTTTAATTGGGCCGTGTCGCTATAAAAGGAGTTTGGATGGTTGTTAACCACGTAGAAATCTATAATATCACTGAACATTTTATTATACAAATTTTTATAACGTTATGCACTGTTAATTTGTAACAAGTTTATATTGCACTTCGTCTTTGCAATAAAAATCATGACAAAAATGTGTTGCTTTGAGTGATGAAAGAAAAATGCTCATACATGTAAAAGCCAACTATATAATTCATTTAATAACATCTTACATGATCCAAAATATATTTTATATTTTAGATTATATAAGATGTATTTTATTCCTTCAAATAAATATAATTAATTAAAGAGAGAATTATTTACAATTTAGTTACAAATTTACGACTCAACAATAATTCTGAAGAAATTTTAAAGATTCTTTAAAGTCTTTGAAAATTTTCGAGTCAAAAGTTATACAAGAGAGTTATACAAGAGTGCAAAAGAATCTTTCTCTTGTATCTCTATTGAACATTGTACATATTT